TCTGAGGGTCTAATGAAAATCACTTCAAAGTAACTGTTGTCATGTACAAATTCGATACTGTGGTCAGAAAGACATAAAAATCAGAACACCGCAGGAGGAACGGTAAATGAAACTGCACACAAACCTGGACAGAAAAGCAGCTTTGCAAAGGAAATGACAAGTGTATTTCGTCAGCACTGCACATGCACCAATCATTATGACAGCCAACAGAATTCCACACTGAAATTCAAAGGAGTCGTTTCTCTAACCGAAAGAAACAACTCCAAGCCTAACCTTGTAGGGAGGGGGTGGGGAAGTTTAGGAGGGCACTCAGCAGCACCTGCATCCCTTCTGAACCAAAAATTAGGGACACATTCGGCTTGGTGGGGCATTTTGCTGGTTCCTATCGATCATTAGAGATGCCCATGTGGAGACTTGTTAAGTCCTGTGAAACTGTGCAAAACTACGGGCTTGCTTTACACTTGTACAGATTTCACCAAGCTATGGCGTGTAATTTACAAGGAACTGACAGCAAAAATGGACACTGCACTGCCAAACTGCCCCCCCCCAGGCCCAACTGTATGCATGACAGGTGAACATCAAGAAGAAGATCAACAAGAAAGCTAACTTTAACTAAAGAAGAGATGCACCTGCTGGAACACGAATGGCATCGCCAGCACTGAAACACCAACGATACAGTTGGCCAGATTGAACACATGTGGCCATGGAGTGAACGGTGAACGCAACTTCATTTCGTCATCTCCACGTTCTGCATCAAAATGGTCATCATCTGCAAAAAATCAGATTAGAATGAATATATAAAAAATAAACAGAATAAGTCATAAAGAAGTTGAAAGCATAAGACTGTCAGGATATCATCCCAATGTCAATCATTTCGGGGAAGACGACGATTCTAACAAAATAATAAATAAAAAGGATAGTTTCCGCCGTTGATCAATCCCTTTGTGGGATGCGGCATGCATTCTACTTCCATTCAGAATCGTAGTGACCTATTGAATGCGATGTGGCCCAGACTTCCAGCCTGCTTGCGAGGGCCAGCCCATGTAGAAGTCGGTGTCCTTGTTCTCCTAGACGAATCTGGTACCAACTTACCGTTCCTGGATTTGCCGGACCGCGCGCGTGGTAAGTGTGCCACTTGCACTATGACACCTCCACCTCATGCTTTTGAATCAATATGAATAAGACCGATCAATACTCACCTCAATTACAGTGGTGAACGTGCCCCTCCAAATTCACATTTGTGAGAATCAAATGTTAGTTACCTTTGTCGTCGTCAAGCAGCTCGTCAGACTCAGAATCGGGATCCATAAGGTAGAATACGGAAGGGTGTCAATTTCAGTAAGGGTTGAAAAACGACCGGAAAAGCGCTAGCACGACGAAAAAATGATTCAAAAGGCAACTCAGTGAAAGTGCGAAACGTCATTGCAACATGATAACGAGCAACAGCGCGCTTTATTTGCACAACTCCGCCACCAAAAACGCTCTTCCTGCCCCATAATTCGTCGAAAAAGCGCGGCCTCAAATTTAGAAAAAGCACACTTGTCACCTT